TTCCGAGGAGTGGCTGGTGGGTTTGAACCGCCAGCCTTCTGGTTAGCAGTCAAGTGCCTTAGCCACTATGCTACCAGAGCTCCCACCAGAGCTCCCTAGACTAGTTAATTAAATCGAAAGACTTTTAAACTACATAGTATCATGTTGTCCTACAGACACTTATTAAACAAGATAGGAGGCTTGAAAGGGCAAAGGTTAAGCACTTCATTGCTGACTGAAAGATTGGCAGTTAAACCCACTGGAGCCACCCAAGAGAAGGAACTGGTGATCTGTTTCATTAAAGATTGTTCTTGTGTGCTGTTGAGTCAATTTCAACTAGGGGGTCTGGTGGCCTAGTGCCTAAGACAGTTGACTGCTAACCAGAAGGCTGGCGGTTCAAACCTACCAGCCATTCTTTGGAAGGAAGATTGGGCAATCTATTTCCCTAGAGGTAACATCTCGGAAACCCAAGGAGAGATCACTATGAGTCGAATCTAATCTATTAGAGGGCAGTGAGTTGTTCACCCCCACACACAGGACAGAGTAGAACTGCCCCATAGAGTTTCCTAGGCTGAACTCTTTATGAGAGAAGATCACCAGGTCTTCCTCCTGTGCAGGGAATGGTGGGTTTTAACTCCCAGCATTTATCTTAGCAGACAAAAGCATTGTGCCACTAGGGCTCCTTATGTGAAAATTAAACCAAAACCAAAACAACTGTCATCAAGTTAATTCCAAAACATAGTGACACTAGGACAGAGTAAAACTGTCCAATAGTGTTTCCAAGACTATAAATCTTTATGGAAGCAGACTACCACATTTTTTTCTCCAGGGGAAGCTTGTAAGTTTAAACTGCTGACTTTTCAGTTAGAAGTTGAGTGTTTCAACCACTGTGCCACCAGGGTTACCTTCCATAAAGATTATATATAGCCTAGAAACTAATATGAGGCAGTTCTAGGCTGGGTCGCTACCAGCTGAAAATCAACTCCATGGCACCCAAATGTTCAAACATCTAGGTTTTCTCCATTTTCAACAGTATCAGTGTTTGAGGAATTGATTAGCTTCTGAATTTTTGTCACATGAATGTATGCTTATTTCTAGGTACCGACCTGAAGATTGCTTCACTGTAGACCCTGACTTGGATCCCAAACGTTTTAGAATTAATGACATATTATTCCTCTTTCGTACCCCTGAATGTGCAAGGTAACTCAGTACTTAATAACCAAGTAATACTGTCTAGGACTTATGTAGGTGATCTAGGAATAGTTATTATTCTCACATTAAGGAAGGTATGATTAAGGGAAGACATAGGTTGAAGTGACTCTCATTTTAGCTTTGTTCCCCTGTCAATACTTCTTTTGTAGTGGGGTGGTTCTTTTACTATGTCAACCTCACAGTTTCCCTTACAATAGTAGCAGAGATGTAAAATGCCCACTTAACTATACCTTTAGCCAAAAACTAATGTGATGAGCACTACTGTGAAAGAATTTCCAGAGCAAGTATGGAAGATCAAATGGCAGGGTATTTTGTATACTATGCACTAAAGTGAATGATCCCCATCCATTTCATACAGAACAAAGGATTAATTTTTAAATATTTAATTCAAAGTACTTTTTTTCCTATTTATATATACATAAGAGCTCTGGTTTTGAGAAAAAATACCATGTTAACCACATATTTTAGAGTAAAATCAACTGCTTCAGTGCTAGTTTTGGGCTGTCCCATGATAAGCCAGATTATAATGCCTTCCCTATAATTTGGCTTGAAATTTCATCAAAACTATTCGGGGAATATTGTTGTATTAGTTCACTATTGTAAAAACTCAAGGAAAGATTTATACGTGGAAGGAAATTTTCCTTGTTGGAAAGGGACGGGAAGGGAGGGGAGGGAACACTGTTAGATAGGTAGAGACAAGTATTGATTTGGGTGAAGGGAAGGGCAATGTACCAAAAGTGAGTGATCAACATGGTGGCACTGAGGAAGAAGAACACATAGAGAGGTACCTGGGAGGTACAGACAGCAAAGATGAACCCTTTGGCATGTACAGTACTGCATTGTCAGTGATGGTAAACATTGATCTATGGGTAGATAGATGAGTGGACAGGCTGAATGATCAGGGATGTCTAAGCTGGAGGGTATGCCCATGACCACATAGAGGGGCAGACAATGTTTCTACAAGTGTATTTCTGTAAGAATGTCTGGGTGTACAGTAGACCTGACAAGGGGCAAGGTTGTTTTAATTTCTTGGCCACAGCCAGCTACCATGAAAGAGTGAGTAGTTGGATCTATGGGCTTGGGAACATGGTTGCAGGAGACATCAAGCTCAATTAGCATAACATACGACACAGAAACATTGTTCTACATCTTACTTTGGTGAGTAGCAATGGGGCTCTTAAAAGTTTGCAAGTGATCATCTAGATGCAAAGATGGCCTTAATATATCTGTTCTATATACAAAGAGCCCTGGTTTCATAGTGGTTATAGCACTTGGTTGCTAACACAGAAGTTCAGTGGTTTGAATTCACCAGCTGCTCCACAAGAGAAAGATGAGGCAACCTACTGTCATGAAAATTTCAGCCTTGGAAACTCTATGGGGCAGTTTTACTCTGTCTTTTAGGGTTGCTATGAGTCGTAATGGGAGCTCTGCTAGCATAGTGGCTAAGACACTTGCCTGCTAACCAGACGGCTGGCGGTTCAAACCCACCAGCCACTCCTCGGAAGGAAGGTTGGGCAATCCTACTTCCGTAATGATACTGCCTCGGAAACCCAAGGAGGGGTCGCTATGAGTCGGGTTTGACTCGACTGCACATAACAACAACAACAACATGAGTCGTAATAGACTCAATGACAATGGGGTTGGTTTTGGTTTTGAGTTCTGTACACATATACATTAGCACTTTAAGCCCCTTTTCATCACATTCCAGTAGAGTCACAAGAGCAGGACCACACCAGAACTAGAAACAATAGAGCAGGCCATTAGCCAGGCTTGTCAGCCCAACTCCATCCCACCATCCACTATCTCAGTATCTGAAACTCTAGAACTAAATCTAGCCTTACAAGTGAGACAGACAGGGGCATCATAATTGCTGAGACTCCCCAGTAGTCTCTGACAACACTATACTGATGGACACTTGTTACACAAAGTATAAAGCATGATGGGTTTCATAAGTAAGTGGTTCAGTATCCACAGATGATGAAAGAAACACACAACTGAAATTAAAGCAGAGAAGAACACCTTTTGAACACAAGAGAATATTTTAACTTTTCTTCCTTGGGCTTCCTTCCTCCCCTCATAGGAGATCAAGTCAGGATTCCGTATGTTCTTCCTCCCAGTGTGATTCTAGTAGGGGTCCACAGAGTAGCAAGGTAAGCAAGACATAAGATATATCTTCCTGTCCTGCTCAATACTGGTCCAAGAATAGTGATATGTAGTATTTGAGCTCCTCCTTTAATAGAATATAAAGGTAGAAGAAAACAGGTGTGTGTATGTGAAACTATCATTTTTATCTTCCCTAAAAATCCATGTTTAATCTCTATTTTTTTCAGCGCTTTTGCATCTATGAATAATATACGATCATGAACAAAATAAATTATACATGCTATGTTTATGGTCATAAAATAATAAAGTAGTTTTAGACCAGGTATTTTGTTAAAAAATAAGTACATATTTCAAGGACCCCTGGTATCACAATGGTTATAGCTCTTGGCTGCTAACCAAAAGGTTGGTGGTTCAAACCCACCAGCACTCCATGACAAATAGATGAAGTAAATTACTCTCAAAAAGATTTCAGCCTTACGGGGAAGTTTTACTCTGTCCTACAGTATCGCTGTGAGTTGGAATCCATTCCATGGTTATGGGTTTGGTTTTTGGTTTGGGGTTATACGTATATCTCAGGGAAAAGAGACAAAGTAATGTAATGGTTTTCAAATCATGTTCCCAGTTTCAATTTTATGTTTTTAGACATTACATTTCTAGTTAAGTTATTGTTTGAAAGAAAGTTTCCACTGCAAAAAATATTTTGAAAACCACTAGCTTACTGGACCATTACTATACCATGGACTGCCAGAGGATGAACAAGTATGTCGTAGATGAAGTACAGCCAGAATATTCCTTAGAAGTGAGGATGGCAAAACTTTGTTTCTCATACTTTGGACATGTTATCAGGAGGGATCAGTCCCTGGAGAAGGATTTCATACCTGTAGAGAGTGAGCAAAGAAAAGGAAGTGTCTCAATGAGATGGATTGACAATGGTGGCTGCAACAATTGGCTCAAGTATAGCAACAATTGTGAGGATGGCACAGGATTGCAGTGGTTTTGTTCTGTTGTACACAGGGTCACTATGAGGCAGAACTGCCTGGATGGCACCTAATAGCAGCATGCTGGAAAGAATAAACATATAAGGACTTAAGAGTCAGATTGACTTGTACTTGAACTTAGGTTTCTCCAGCTTTAGATACATTACTTAATCTCTCTGAGCTTCAATTCCCTCATCAGTGCAAAGGGTAAAGCCTAACTTATATGGTTGTTACTAGAATTAGAGATAACAGTCACCAAGGACTTGGCATGCATTAGTCACTTAAGTATTGTCATTATCATGATATACCTGAGCCATGAGGAAAATGTGTTAAGGATTCTCTATTTATGAATATGGAAATCTATACAACTCATTTTTCAGAGAATTAATTAAAAATTAACCTAAAAATTAAAGTTTAAAACTACCTAGAAAAACTACACATTTAGTATATCTCATTTCCTTACAATGTCATAGAAATGTTGTCTTTTTCTCTCCCTTAATGCAGGGAAGCAAACAAAGCATACATGATACTGAAGTTAAAGGTCAGTATGAAATCATCCCTCTTTTCTATCATAAAAAATTTTCTTCAAAATAGGGAGCTCATGTAATAAAATAATCATTATGAGTAAGTGTTTTTGTCACTAAATGTTGAGATGCTTGCTATAAGTAGTCTAAGAGGCACTATGCAGAATTTCCATTATGATGCTCTTAGTATACTGATTCTAGATTTTTAAAATTTGAAATATTACTGATGATCAGTTTCCAGCCTATTTTCCTAAAACTTATACTGAATTTTAAAGACATGCTAATGTGTAAGACTTGTACTAGGTGTATATCTAGTTTAGCTGTAATGTGCAGTTTTGCAATAGGACCAAAACTAAGCTCCCCCTCTTTTTTTCCAGTTATTTCTAATGATCTGGAATTCCACTTGAGTATATTTTTATTGTTGTTTTGTAATGCTTTGTTGCTACCCTGATGAAGTGCTCAGGGGTTATTTAAAAAAAAAAAAAAAAATCTGGGGAAAAGATGTGTTAATTTTGCTATTTCCCTGCCCTGCCTTTTAAATTCTATAAAGTTTGGAATTCCAACTGTTGCAAACACCATGGTACTCACTGATTTCTTCAATAGGTGAGAGCACAGATGGCACGGCGGGAGAGCATCAGCTAGTGGACAAAAAACAATCTAGAGGCTCCAGTTTAGCAGAAGCCCAACCACCTATCCTTGTCACTGCACATGAGGATGGACACCTTCGATTGTGGACTCTGGAGGTAATGGGATCCATTATTTACTTAGAATACGAAAGACTGGAAAAGATAAAATAAATTGTCAAATTAACCTTCCATATGGCATGCAATTCTAATATTTCTCATTCTTCTAGCCAAATTGCTGGGTTTGCAACCTATTCAATGTTAATGCTACTCAAGCTTTATATGGCATTTTTGTAACTCAAGTTATCAAATCAGCAAAACTTCTAACTTACCAATATCAAATCTAGTCAATTATTAGAAACATAATCATATAAATATTTTACTCCACAATTTATTGAGTGTTTAATATTTTTCATGCACTCACTGTATTTCCTGGGTAAAAATACAAAGAGCACCTGGTTGCTTGTGCCTGTTGTATGATGTCAACTCAATCTGACTCATAGTGATGCTGTATAATGAGTAGAATTGCCCCAGAGGGATTCCCAGGCTCTGATCCTTATGTGACCAGATCACCAGGTCTTTTCTACCAGAGTGCATTTGGGTTTTAATTGCTGATCTTTCAGGTAGCATCCAAGCACTTAACCACTGCCCCACCAGGGATCCTTAAAATTGGAGCCCAGAGGAGGCAATTTAGCAGTGCTGTTGTTAGGTGCCATAAAGTCAATTATTGACTCATAGTATCAGCACCGTAGCTTTCTAGGCTGCAGTTTTTATGGGAGCAAATCACAAGGTATTTCTCCTTTCAAGTGGCTCCGTGGGCTTGACTTTTAGTTAGCACCCACTGGCTTAATTATTGCACCATCAGGGCTACAGGACCCCTATGTAAGGGATTTGTTGACTTATTCAAACCAGTGAAGACTACTGACAAAGTAGACTGTTTCAATACCTAAAGAATATTCCAAGACCAGTATTAGCTGGGGCAAGCTAGAATAATACTATCTCAGTGTGACATTTGTCACACAGCACTTACCAAGGATGGGAGCCTTTCCTTACAAAGTTGATAAATCAAGGTTTTGCTATCCCTTTCTGTAGAGTGGGTTGATTTCTAGTTCACCATCACACTGAAAGAGTACCCCATTGGTAACCAGTTTTACCCAGAGGTCTCCTATTAGAATTCCTGTCTCGGGTAGGTCCCAGGTTTAATTCCTGACCCCTTTCTTCTGTGAGCCTTTCATAAAGGAAGTCCTATGTCACCAATTTTGCTACCTCAGGCCAAAAGCTCACTTGAAAGCTATCACAGTCACTAGACTTAGCCTTTGAGAATTCCTTACTTTTCATTAGCTCTGCAATTAATTTAAGAGATCTTTGGTGGTGCGATGTCTGAGGCATTTGATTGCTAACCAGAAGCAACCAGAACCAGAAGTTCAAAACCACCAGCCACTCTGTGGAAGGAAGACTGGGCAATATACTTCTGTAAAGATTTACCACCTCAGAAACCCAAAGGGAGTCAGAATTGACTCAATGGCAGTGAGTTTGGTGGGTTTTATTATTATTATTATTTAAAAAATATTTTTACCCAAGATTTTTTTTGCTATCATTTTGAACACAAAGATTGTTCACGGTTTCTTTTCTGTCATATTGCAATAAATAGAAGTCCATAGTGATCTTCTTAAAATTTAATCAGATGACAATATCCCTCTGCATAAAACTCTCCAATAGCTTACTGTTGCACTGGGAATACAATCTAACCTCCTCATACTGGCTTATAAAGTTCTAAATGGCTTGGCTCATGTCCATCTCCTTGGCCTTAGCTTCTACAACTCTCCTCCTTGCCCCAACATTCCAATCACACTGGCCACATTTAGATTTCTCAAAAATAAATAAATAAAACAAAAGGCATTTCTACCACAGACCCTTTTAACCTCCCATTAGTCTGCTAGAATGTTCTGCCCCAGACCTTCTCATAGCTGCTTCCTTTTTGCTATTTGAGTACAAAGATTACTATCATTACCTCAAACAAAAGTAGTTACTCACTCATGGACTATTACATTAGTCTATTTTAATGTAAGGACCTCTAGTAATGTAATGGGTAAGAAATGTGGCTGCTAACCAGAAGGTTGGCAGTTCAAACCCACCAGCTATTCCACAGAAGAAGGTGAAGCAATCTACTTCCATAAAGATTTACAGCCTTGGAAACCCAGTGGGGGAGATGTGAGTCAGAATCAACTCAATGGCAGTGGGTGTGGGTTTTTTGTTTTGGGATAGCATTGTTTCAGATATAATGTGTTTTCTAGTTTAATATTTTTATGTCCACCCCTCCCAAATATAGTGATCATGAGAACAGGGATCTAGACCATCTTAAATACCTCTCTGAATCCTCTAAAACACTGAAAATAATGTTCAGAACGTGGAAATCACTCAATATGTATTTGTATGAATGAATATGCTCCATAACTGCACGTCTATGACAGCAAAACTTGGGGCCTTTCTTAATCCGCTCTTCTAACAGTAATCTGAAGTCTCACAATCAGTTAGTATGCCCCACCCCCCAAAAAAAGATGAAGATGAAAGATACCAGACTTGAAATACAATTTTAACAAGGCAAATTCATCTTACATACAAAATGCCTTTCTCCATTGTGAAGAAGCCCTTCTGTGGAGTCCAGAGGTTCTCCTACCCATACTTCTATGATCTCCACCCTCCACTTTCAATCCTAATCTCACCCTAAAAGTCTTCCTCCCCTACACCACTCAGAAGATTGGTATTAGTAAAATAAGTACTAAAAAAGAAAATATGATTAAAATGATGCAAGGAATATAAGTATCTCCTGTTATTGTTTCAGTATGTTTGTATCATAAAATAGATACCTGCCAATGAGTCAACTCTGACTCATGGCAACCTTACTTACAACAGAATAAATGTTGCCTGATCCTAGCACTACTGGCACATTTGAATTCATCATTGCAGCTAGTGTGCCAGTTCATCTCACTGAGGATCTTCCTTGCCCTCATTGGTCCTCTAGTTCACCAAATATGATTTCCTCCTACAATGATTAATCTTTCTTCATGACGTGTCTAAAGCAGCAAGTTGGACAATGAATATTCTGTTATGATCCATAAAGTTTACATTGGCTAATTTTCAAAAGTAGATCACCAAGCCTATCTTGCTAGTCTGTCTTAAATCTGGAAGTTCCACTGAAATTTGTCCACCATGGGTAACCCTAATGGTATTTGAAATACCAATGGCATAGCTTCCAGCACCATAGCAACATGCAAGCCACCACATTACAGTAAACTGACAGACAGGTGATGGTAAAATATCTTAGCTTCTGTCTAACTTTTCTTAAAATTGAGCTATAAATATATGCCACTAAATATTTTACTGGATATTTAAAGAATATTAATGATTAGTATCTAAAAGAATACAAGGACACTAAATTGTGAACCAAACAATTTTTGATTATCAAAACTATTGGATATATACAGTTATCCAATCTATATTGACATAAACATATTGGAAGTCATTATGGGATAATGATATACCTTAAACAATTTATAACGAACAAATAACTTTATCAGAAAATGTTAAACAATTTAGGGTAGGGCATGGTGGAGGGTTAAAATTAGGAGAACAGAAGGTGATGAAAAGGAAGGGTCTTGAGTAGCCTGGTGATGAAGACAAGAAACCTTAGAGAGACAGGGGAAATGATGACATTTGAGGTCAGACATTCTCCTATAGGGAAACCCAGAAAACAGCAACAGTGTTGTTTAGCAGATAGGATACAACACAGAACAGCATAGCTGTCTGCCAGATAAAACCTCAGTTTATCAGTAGATCCTTGTTTATTAGTCAGAAACTGTTTGTTTGAAAATTCAAATATTATAACAATACCTTTCCCTGAGATGATCTTGGTATTGGAGCGATGCCCCCCCACCCCCCTTTTTTTTCTCCTCACAGAAAAATTAAAGAGTAAGAGATTTAAGAGAAGAAAAGATAATTTTCAAATAAAGTTCCAGGAAACTAACAGCATGTTCAAATTCTTTCTTCTCAAGCATTGATATTTATTCTCTAAGCGAGATAATATATGTGAAAGTCCTTCCCAATGCTTGCTTTATACTAAGTGTTGGGAAGAAAAAAAAATCTGCTTAATTTGAATCTTTTAAAATCCTTTATCTTGCCTAATGTTAAAAATAGATATTTCTGAAAGGACAAATACAATATTTCTACTTAAATCAATTAAGGTACACTTAAACCTAAAAACAGTATTTGATGGGAAAATCTACTGCCATCAGTCAATTCCAACTCATAGTAACCCCCATTGGGTTTCCAAGGCTGTAAATCTTTACAGAAGTAGATTGCCTCATCTTCCTTTTACGGATCAGCTATCGGGTTTGAACCAGAAAACTTCTAATTAGCCTTTGGCACTGAGCCACCAGTAGTTCTACTCTGTAACACGTGAGGTTGCCATGGGTTGGAATTGACTCAATGACAATGAAGCTTATACCTCTATGAACATCTCAAGTAAGTCTCTAAGAGAGTTTCAAATTATTTTAATTATAAAGAAGACAATCATATGTGTCAATATTAGAGAGAGTTCTTCAGATATATTTATAGAAAAAAATTAACTTCAATTTTAAGACTATAATTTATTATCATAGGAAAAAAAACCTTATTTACATTATTCTTTATTCAGGGAAGACTACTGAAGGATATGCTACCTTTCACAAAACATTCTGCCATTTCTCTGACATCACTGTTTACTGATTCATGTACGAGGATACTATTAGCTGGAAATGTGGGTAAGTCATTAGTCTTATGTGTGCAGCCACAGATATCTTAATCTACATGATATAAAAAATCATTATAGGAGAAATACATGATATTTATTGAAATGAAAGACTAAGAGGCATACTTAAGGATGAGAGATAGTGTGATGGACACATTGCTGAATAAATAGAAGAATGAACCTACTTCATTTCCTGATTCATTCTTAGAAAAGTCATTCTATTTCTCCCATCTTTAATGGGGTATATTACTACTGATTCTTGTACTCTACCTTACGGGGAGAATGAAAAGTTTTCGTATTTTTTAACCTTGGTAAGGTTATGTTGCATTAATCTTTAATATTATCAGTGAAATGAATTAGAGAGGAAAATGGATTTTTCTCTCAATAGGGAAATTAATTCATTTCTATTTATTGTTTATTTTATATTTGTATATTTTATATGTTGTTGTTGTTATTAGTTGTTGTTGAGTTGATTCTGACTTACGGTGACACCCCTTGTGCAGAATAGAACTGCTCCACGGGGTTTTCAAGACCATGACTTTTCAGAAGCAGATCGCCAGGCCTGTTTTCTGAGGCACCTCTGGTTGGGTTCAAACCAACAAACTTTCAGCTAGGAGTCAAATCTTAATTCTTTCATATAATACTTTTTTTTTTTTTTTAATGCTTCCTTTCTTTTGTCTTTTGGATTATTGTCTAAATTTCCTTTAATTTTTTTTTAATCATTTTTGTTGTTTGAAAGATTGCATGTGTGTGTGCATGCACATACATGCATAGTTTAAATTTTATTAGTGTTTACCTTTAAACATTTCAAAAGCACTAGTTAATTTCTCAGAATTTAAACAAAGCAGCATCTTTTCAATTAAAACAGAAAGCGTAGCTCGCTTAGCTTCAATTTTCTCCTTTCTTCACACTCACTCTGACTTACTGTCATTAGATAATGTCATATTCTAATTTGCATCCATAATGCTATTACATTAAGATTTCATCTTTTAAATCTTCTCTTTTGAGTACATTTTTCTCATTTCAAATTTATTTTACAAAAGTCACAAAAAAATATTTGCACCATCAATTATTTGGGTCTTTTGGTTGGATACTTTTGAAATAATTGTTTATATTTGCATTCAGTATTGTCAGTAGCTATATATTTATTTAAATTTACATTTTTTAAATCTGGTTTCAGTGCTAACCACCAATCCCTTATTACTCTAATTTTCTTGTTCTTGACTTTTTATTTTTATTGTCAGTCTATAATTTTTGTAGACATTATGTCAGTTTACAGCAGAATTATAGAGAAATCTGAGATCAGGCAAATGTTGTTCCTTTTTAAAATGGCCTGCAAGTTTTTGCATTAACTTTGCATAACTTGGTAAGCTTTTTCTCACAAAATCCATAGAACTACAATGGAATTTTCTATAGAATTCTCAGAATGTACCTCTCCTACAATGATTCCTCTTTTAGCCAGGTGATTCTCTGCCCAGAATGATTTATTATCACATAGCCCATCTACTTCTTGAATTTTGTAGTTTTGGCCTGTCATACAGAAAAACAGACAGATGGTGGAGCTTGGGATTCAATCAGTCTTGTCCATATTATAACTAAAAGAGAGCCCTGGTGGTGCAGTGGTTAAGAACTCTGCTGCTAACTGAAGGGCTGACAGTTCTAACGCACCAGCCATTCTGTGGGAGAAAGATGTGGCAGTCTGCTTCCATAAAGATTACAGCTTTTGAAGCCATATAGGGCAGTCCTCCTCTGTCCTATAGGGTCACTATGAGTTGGAATCAACTCGACAGCAATGAGTTTGGTTCTTTGGTTTGGTGCTCCTGGATTCTGACATTAGGTTTCCTTTTTCTCTGCCTCAACAAATGTTAAAAGAACTCCTATGAGGGCTATCTAGTCACTGTTTTAAAACTGACATCCTCAGACACCATTAGTTGTTGCTTTTTTTTTTTTTAATCATCTAGTTTTCATTGGGAGCTCTGGTAGCACAGTGCCTAAGGCACTTGGCTGCTAACCAGAAGGCTGGCGGTTCAAACCCACCAGCCACTCCTCGGAAGGAAGATGGGGCAATCTACCTCCATAGTGATACTGCCACAGAAACCCAAGGAGGGGTCTCTATGAGTCGGGTCCGACTCGACGGCACGTAACAACAACAACGAAGTTTTCATTAACATCATTTGGATTGTAGGATGAGTATCTCTGTAACAGTTTGGAATCCATTTGGTAGTAGTCTATGCATTTTTACTTTATCTAGCCTCATTTCTAGAAGAATCTTCATTATGAGTGAGTAAAGCAACCTCATTATTAAGCCTGAAACAAAAAAGAGTTGCCAAGTATAGAAGTTTGTATGAAATTTCTTCTTTGATTTTTCGTTCCTATGATTTTTCGTTCCTAATATTCTACTTGCCATTTTAAATGTCTGAATAAAAACTACTTGGCAGTCTTGGTAGTATTTATTTACATAATGAGATGTCTAATGAAAGATTCCAAGGTGTTAAATATTTAAATTTTATACAGAAGGACACATCATCCTTTGCAGTATTGGTTCTTTCCTGGATCCACCTCATGATGAAAAGGTAAGAATGTTAATTTTCCACTTTAACTAATGGCTCAACACATATTTATTAAACATTTATTTCTCTGTGCTAGACACCACAAAAGATGGAAATATAAGACTCAGTATTTTCAAGGCAAATATAATACTATTGAAACTTAACCTAAGAGAACATAACAATATTCTGATGCTTAAAAAGAGATATAAGTGAGCAACAGAGTGAGTGAAACAGTCACTGGTCACTTTGTATTTTCTTCATGTTTTGATTTATCTAGAAATCTAGTGCTTAAAAGAGTTCATAGGTCATATGGTCCTATAATTTCTTGATCTTGTGCATCATCATAGAAAGAGATTCCATAACCTTCCCTTGCATGTCTAACATAGTTTAATAAAAAAAAAAAAAAAAACAACCACTTCCCTCAAGTCAGATCCAACTCATAGTGACCCCTCCTTGGGTTTCTGAGGCAATATCACTATGGAAGTAGATTGCCCACCTTTCCTTCCAAGGAGTGGCTAGTATGTTTGAACTGCCACCAGCCTTCCGATTAGCAGTCAAATGCCTTAGGTACTACACCACCAGAACTCCCTTCTAACACAGTACTTAACCATTATTACTTTCAAGAAACACTTATTCACATCTAGTACAAACCATCCTTACAATGCAAAAATATTTTATTCTGTTTTATAGTGTTAATGTGATGTAAATGTCACCATCTTCATGTAAATCTTTACCGCAATAGATTGTCCCATTTTCTTCCAATGGAGCAGCTGGTGGGTTTGAACTGCTGACCTTCGGGTTAGCAGCCAGGTGCTTTACCCACTATGCCACCAGTGCTCTTATCTTCATTTCATAACTATTTAAATATGCACTTCTTGTATGTGTGTGGATATACTAATGTATCAACATACATATTAAACATAAACACACACAGCAACAATTAAAGACTGTACCAAATAAGGACTATTTCCTCTTTTTTTTTCCCTTCACCTTTGTAATGTGATTTGGATGAAAGGTGATAGAGCAAATTAGTTTTCCATTCAACAATTCATACATATTTTCCTTTGTGACAAATTGATTTTTTTTGTAACAATGTGACAGCACTCTTCCCACTTCTACCCTGTGTTTACAGTTTCAGTTAGTTATTCTTTCCTATCCCTTACTACCTTCTGAGCTTTGTCCCTCAGCAAGTGCTGCTCCTTTAATCTCCTATGGTTGGTTGTTCTAAGAATTGTGTACTTCCCAGGTGTTATTGTTCAACTTATAGGCCTGTCTGTTGTTTGACTGAAAGTTGAGGCACAGGGAGTCAGCTCAGTTCAGGCTTGATGAGTCACTAAAAGGCTAAAGTCTTGGGGGTTCCACCAGTCTCTGTCTGACCAGAAAACCTAGTCTTTTTTGTGATTTTGAATTTTGTTCTACATTTTCCTCTCACTCTATCCAAGACCTACTATTGTGATCCCTTTCAAAGTGGTCAGCAGTGGTAGCCAGGAACCATGTAGTTCTTCTGGTCTCAGTCCCCTTGGAGGCTGTTGTTCACATGGTCCATTAATTATTTAGATTAAATATTTCCATGTGTCTTTGGTTTTTTTCATTCTTCTTTGTTGTGGATGGGGAAAGACCAATAGTTGCACCTTAGATGGCTGCTTACAGGCTTTTAAGACCCCAGTCACTACTCACCAAAGTAGGATGTAGAACATTGTTTTTGTAGACTATGTTGTGCCAATTAATTTTGATGTCTCTAAGACTATGGTCCTGAGTCCCCAGCCCAGTGACTCATTCCCTCAAGATATTTGGTTATGGCTAAGAATTTTTCATAATTTTCCCCCTGTATACTCTACTACATGCATGGATATATTTGCAGCACATATAAACACATGTAGAAATATCCTCTGTCAAACCTATGTATATTCATGGGTGTAGTCCCATTTGCCTTCCCATTGCTGTTCACTTGAGTGCCTATATGTGTAGCTACTCATAGATTATTATTACTAATATTTCAGGGTTGGGTATGTAATAGTATTTACCTTCGTTGCTTTTAACTCTTGTGCTCCTTCCAGTGTCTTGACCTTCCCCTTATTGTATATTGCCAGGAAGACTACTTTAAATAGATTTATTATCCCTTAAAGTAATCCTGGATAAAAAGCTAGGAACCCAGACAGAAGAGCAGTCAGCCCCAGGGTTACAGGTGAGGAGAGACAACTCAGGGATGCCCGAAGTAGCAAGTGGGAAGAGCAGGAGAAAGGGGATAAAAAGCCAGGAACCTGGACAGAAGACCAGTCAGCTGAAGGGATTAGGTGAGGAGAGGCAACTCAGGCCCGTCCAGAGTAGCAGGCCAGAAGAGCAGGAGAAAGGGGATAAAAGCCAGGAACCCAGACAGAAGAGCAGTCAGCCCCACGGTTACAGGTGAGGAGAGACAACTCAGGGACACCCGAAGTAGCAAGCGGGAAAAACAGGAGAAAGGGGATTAAAAGCCAGGAAGCCAGAGAGAAGAGCAGTCAGCCGAAGGGATTAGGTGAGGATAGGCAACTCAGTCCCGCCCAGAGTAGCAGGCCGGAAGAGCAGGAGAAAGGGGATAAAAAGCCAGGAACCCAGACAGAAGAGCAGTCATCCCCAGGGTTACAGGTGAGGAGAGACAACTCAGGGATGCCCGAAGTAGCAAGCGGGAAGAGCAGGAGAGAGGGGATAAAAAGCCAGGAACCTGGACAGAAGAACAGTCAGACCCAGGATTACAGGTGAGGAGAGACAACTCACTGACGCCCAAAGTAGCCAGTGGGAAGAGCAGGAGAAAGGGAGTTAAAAGCCAGGAAGCCTGAGAGAAGAGCAATCAGCTAAAGGGATTGGTTGAGGAGAGGAAACTCAGGCCCACCCAAAGCAGCAGGACCAGAGAGCAGGAGAAAGGGGATAAAAGCCCGGATCCCAGACAGAGGAGCAGTCAGCCCCAGGGACAACTCAGGGACACACAAAACAGCAGGGCAGAAGAGCAGGAGAAAGGGAATTAAAAGCCAGGAAGCCAGACAGAGGTACAGTCAGCCACAGCAACCCAGCTGAGAGTGATACGAGAGGTCTCCAACAGCAAGACAGACTTGTCTGTTGGTTTGTCCTACTGTGGTGACATGTAGACCAGAGTTTTGAGGCTGAGCCTCTGGTGTTTAAAACCCAACGAGATGCACCTGGTGCACAGGTAACAGCCCAGCTTATAGACTGAGACACACTAGGAAGAAGGAAGAGGCCATCCACTTCTCAAAGAATTGGCCAGGGAAAACCTTATGAATAGCAAAGAAACAC